GGCTGTAGAGTAGGTAGGGCGCCTGGCGCCATTCAAGAGAGAGAGCTACATTGGGTTATGCTGTTGGTGTTGCCCGATTGGGCTTGGACATTGACTCACGATTCTTCTGTATCGTTCTCAAATGGATGGTTACTCGGTTCCATTGTGCTATCTGCTCTTGCTTTGACTACTTGGACTTCAGTGTGATTTTGCAATTTGGATTTCTGTGCTTCGTCCACATTCATGTTCTTTCAAATTTCTTAAATACTTTAGAATTAATTCATCTCTTTTTGGAATACCCTTAATTTTTTTCCAAATTCCTTGGAATCCTTTTGCAACTCATTATTAGCCCTTTTCCGAAATTTTGAATTCACATTTTGAACTTTTGAAATTAATTACTTATTTTAAAGAAATTATCTTGAAATTTCTTTTCTCTGCCGACGTTTCTTTAAATTCACTTTAGAAATTAATCCCTTCCTGCGGAATTAATTCTTATTTTTCCAAATTTCAACGAGAAATTTCAAAATTCCCCCTCCTAATTCTTTTTCTATAATTCGAAGATATTCCAAAATTTCACGTAAATAAATTTTGAAATACATTCAAATTTATTTTCTTCCAATATTTTGAACAACGAATTTTGTAAGTCTCTCCTTCGGATCCTTCAAAATTTTGTTCTACCCAAATTAATTTTGAATAAATAAAATTCCAATCGGAATAAAACTAGTTATTTAATATTAATTCCCTACTTGCCAAAAAATCTTGGCAATTATCTTTAACTTTGAATTTATTGATAAATAAATAAGGGATTGCCCCCCCCACCTCCACATGCCACCACACCAAACAAGAACTTTCAACGTGGCGCCGCCGCCGTCGCCGCCACCGCTGCTGCTACAGCCTCCACATCCGTGCCGACCGCGTCCTCCACCCCCTCTTCCCCCGACAAGGGCGCATCCTCCATCAACATGTCTAACATCCGCACCGACTTGGTCGATAGCATCGCCAGCAACTTCGCAGGCGAACAACCACCAGCAAACACCGCCACCCCCGACCTCTCCGACATCCTCCACACACTCAACACCCTCCAAACCTCCGTCACCGCCTCTCTCAACGACATAAAGGCCCCCATATCGTCCATATCCGACCGCGTCACCACGCTCAAAGGGAACAACCCCTCCATCATGGTCGTCACCACGGCCACACCTCCCTCCTCCACAGCGTAGACCACTCCCTCCTCCACAGCCGCCTCCAGCAACACCCCCCCGCGGACCTCCTCCACTCCTACCACCTTAACCACCATATCCACCAACCCTTCCTCCTCAACCCTCCCCCGCCTTTCATCATCCACCACCGTTTCGCTCCCCCCCACCTCCTCCCTCATCCGGAGCATCCAACACACCGCCTCATTCCTCGCCTATTCACGTCACCCCTCTTCCCCCCCCAAACTCTCATACCATTCACCAACCCATCATGACAACCTCCACCATCCCCACCCTCCGTCCCACCTATTCCCAAGTCACCTCCGGGGTTTACCCCCCAATGCCACAACTCCCCCCCCACTACCTCCTTGAGGACAACAACCAACCCGACTACACCTGCTACGACACCACCCCCGATAACCTCAGCTTCAACACCCTCGCCCGAATCGTTTCCCGCGATGGGGAAATCCCCCATTCCTTCCGATCCGGCGACATCATGTCCTTCTCCTGCATCCCCCACAAGGACGTTTTCCTCTTCCTAACCCAGCTACAAAACTCTTTTCACCTCCACCACATGCCCCTTGCCCACTGGCTCCCCATTGCCACCTCCCGCCTCCTCGGCAACGCCGCCAAATGGTGGATGGCCAAAGTCAGCAACCGCCGAGCCTCCGGAGGACCACGTCACTCCCTCCTCCAATGGGCCAACCTTCTCGCTGCCACCTTCCGCCCCCAGAAAACCATTGATGACTACCTTGAACAATTCTGCCACCTCCGCCAGACCGGTCTCACGGACCGCTTCGTCCAATACGTCCACTCCCTCCGCCACCTCATTCCCGACTTTGCGTTCATCTCCCGCATCAAACGAGTATGCCACAAAGACCTTGCAACCGCCCTCGCCCACGAACCCGACATGCCCCTTGCTGACCTCTCTCGCATGCTTCACCACGATCGACTCCTCCACCCCCATCACCAGCCCGTGCCCGCCCCCTCCCACACCCGCTTTTTCCATCACATCACCCCTAAAAACACCACCTCCATCACTTCCTCGGACGGGTTCACCACACCCGACCTCGATGCATCTTTCGATTCAGTCGACTCTTCATCCCTCACTTTCGAGGAACTCAATGTCGTCCAATTCATGAGAATGGAGCGCACAGATCGCAGCTCCCGTCCACCCTCATCTACACCACCCTCCCGGCTCAAGAAACTCACCCCCGAGGAGTGCACCTACCTCCAAGCAAATGGGGGTTGCTTTCGTTGTTGCCAATTGGGGCACCAACAAACCAACTGCCCCAACACCGCACAATTCACCCGCCAGTCCGCCTCCACTCCACCCGCAACCTCCTCATCACCGCCCTCGGCAAGCGCCGGTCCCTCCTCATCATGAACACAGTCCCCAGGACATCGTGCATCGACATCACGTCTGTCGGCCCACCCATCGGTGACGTCCTCCGTCCCACCGATGGCTCATCTGGCATTGACAATTCGTCTGCCTTCCCCCTCTCCGGTGACGCCCCCTCCACCGGACGACTCCCAGGCATCACAAACGCCTCCCACTGCCTCATGCTCCTCTACCCTTCTTCCAAACCCATCCACTGTCACCTTCTCCGATGTTGTTGAGGAACAAGCTCGACACGATCGGCTTGTCCGCTTAGGCAACGAACAACGCCGCCTCAACACCATCATCTCCACCGCCAACTCATCTCGTTTCCACCTCAAAGTCATCGCCGCCACCCTTGGTGCGTCTACAACTAAGTTCCGGGCCCTCCTCGACATTGGAGCCACCGGTAACTTCATCACCGACGCGTGTGTCGGCAAAGCCGATCTTACCTCTACCGGTTACGACTCCCCGATCACGATTCACCTAGGGGACAAAGACACCGCCGTCGTAGTAGACCACATGGTTCCCGAGACCACCATGACTGTCGGAACCCTCCGCAGTCAAGTCTCGTTTGATGTCATGCACTTGATGTGCGACATCGTCTTAGGAACCTCGTGGCTGGACCGCTACATGCCATACACATTCCACCACAACTTCCTTCGCCTCACCAACCCCCCCGACACAACCATCGACATCCCCTATCTCCCATATCCGACCTCCCAAGGCTCCGTCACCCCGCACCAATTCCTCCACATGGCTCGCCTAAATCGTGACTCCGCCTACTACTATCCTGTCCTTGATCGTGAAAGTCCCGAGGACTTACTCTCGACGGACAAACCCGATCAAGCCCCCCCCCTCCAACCCCGCCATCACCTCAATCCTCGACGAGTTCAAGGACGTCTTTCCAGAGTACTTACCCGCCGGACTACCTCCGGATCGTGGCGTATCCCATACCATCGATTTGGAACCCGGACATTCTCCACCTTGCCGCCCTCCATACCAACTCTCTGTCCCCGAAGCCGAAGAAATGAAGCGGCAACTCAGTGAACTCCTTGAAAAAGGGTTCATTAAGCCAAGTTCATCCCCCTTCGGAACCATCTGCCTTTTCGTCAAGAAAGGTGGAACTTAGGAACTCCGCATGTGCACAGACTACCGCGCCTTGAACCGGATCACGATCAAGAACAAGTACCCCCTACCTTGGATTTCTGAGCTCCTTGATTGTCTCCGTGGAGCCAAGTACTTTACCAGGATCAACCTTCGCAGTGGCTTCCACCAGATCCGCATCCGCGAGGAGGACACCCACAAAACCACCTTCCGCTCTCAGTTTGGGCACTACGAGTTCCTCGTAAAGCCATTCGGACTCAACAATGGCTCCGCTACCTTCCAATCTACCATGAACCACATCTTCCGCAACCTTCTCAAAGTCATTTCTACCGCACTCGCCATTTTTATGTCCCCTGTCCTCAAGATCGCTGACCCCACTTGCCATTTCTATGTCACCACTGACGCCTCCGACTTCGCCATYGGAGCCGTACTGTCCCAACATTTCCCCCGCGACACCGCCGAGACCCCCTCCATCAAGGACTCGGCCACTCACCCCGAGGCTCCACCTGGCGAATACCCGATCGCCTTCGCAAGCAAGAAGCTCCTTYCCGCGGAGATGAATTACCCCTCCAACGAGAAGGAACTGCTCGTCGTGATTCACGCCCTCACAGTCTAGCGCCCGTACCTCGGCGGGCAATACTTCACCATCCGCACTGACAATACCATCGTCTCCTCTATCCTCTCCAAGAAAGATATCACTCCACGCCAGACCTGCTGGCTAGACTTCCTTGCCCAATTCACATTCACCATTTGCTATATCCCCGACAAAAGCAACCGCGTTGAGGAAGCCCTATCTCGACGACCCGACCACAAGCCCCTCGAGAAAGTCTACGCCGCCATGACTCGTATCCAACTCCTCCCATCACTCCATCACCGATACACCCAAGGCTACCTCTCTTGCCCAGACTTCGCCACCATCTACAACAAGCTCCGCGATCTTGACCCAGTCCCCGACTACTCCCTTCACGACAACCTTCTCTACATCGATACTAAAGGCACTCGCCGACTTTGCATCCCCGACGCATGTGGTCTCCGTACTCAACTCTTGGTCGAGCACCACGACGCCAAGACCGCAGGACACCTCGGTTTTTAGAAAACCTTCCACAACATCTCCCGCTACTTCCATGGGCCTTCCCTGCTCGCTGACATCAAAGCATACATTCGCTCATGCCCCACGTGTCATGCTGTCAACCCCTTGAACTGGGCCAAACCCGGCAAGCTCCAATCATTGCCCATCCCAACTCACCGGATGGCAGTCCATCTCCATGGACCTCGTGTGCGGCCTCCCCAAGACCGACCGCGGGCATGATTGTCTCTACGTCATTGTCTGCCGCTTGACCAAACGTGCCCACTTCATCCCTTGCATGACCTCGCACAGTGCCAAAGACGTCGCCACACTCTTCTTCGACCACGTTGCTCGCCATCACGGCCTCCCAGAGAACATCATCAATGATCGTGATCCTCGCTTTCTCTCGCAATTCTGGAAACACCTCTTCACGGCCTACGTAACCACGCTCAAGTATAGCACTGCATTGCATCCACAGACCGATGGACGAACAGAGAAGATGGACGATACTCTCCAAAGAATCCTGCGGAAGTATTGTCATCCTCACCAACACGATTGGGATTAGTTGCTCACAGCCGCCGAGATTGCCTACAACAACGCCCTCTGCCCTTCCACCAACATGTCTCCATTCTACCTCGACCTTGGCTACCACCCTCGCTTGCCCTCTGACTTCTTGCTTCCTTCGCAGCTTAACCTTCGCAGCTTAACCCATCCAACCCCTGCCCCTCTCTCAATGAATGGGTAGCAACAATGAACAGACTCCTGAGAGAAGCCTCCGAAGCCATTGAACGAACCCAAGAACAACAAGCCAACAAGACTAACAAACATAGACGCGACGTGTCATTCAAAGTAGGGGACAAAGTATGGCTCTCCGCCAAACGGTTTGAACCCGAACACGACTTGTCCAAGAAACTCTCCAACAAATGGCTCGGTCCCTTCCCCATCATTGAAGAAACCTCCCCCGTCAACTACAAACTCCAACTTCCCCCTGACATGAGTCGTGTCCACCCAGTCTTCCATGTCGAGTACCTAAAAGAATACCATGAATCCCCGCCCCAGTTCGCCGACCGCCCATATCCTAGACCTTCACCAATCATGCTACCCACAGGCCCTGACTTCGTTGTCGAAACCATCATCGGTCGACGAACCACTCAGGTATCTGATCATCCGGAATCAATCATTGAATACAAAGTCAAATGGACCGGATATCCCGTCGAAGAATCTACATGGGAACCTCTCTCTAATCTTAAGAATGCCATGAAACTTGTCCGCGCCTATGATCGTGCTAATCCTATGTCCTAGATACCTATACAACTATGGCATAAACCCTGCTACAACCTCGCAACCCCGCTCTACACACACCCTTGAACCCAGTCCACCCTCCCCTTGACCCTCATTCCTGATGTCTGATCTGCCCTTGCCCTCGCCTAGCCTTGTCCCATCTGTCCTCTCCACTACCTTGTCTCTCTTGTCCAATGCTTGTGAACCTGCGTGACGCCGGCGATAAAGGATCTAATGGCAAGCGCATGAGGACAATGGCCTGCTGCCTTACTGTTCATGGAGATTATGCAGCTGGTTTGGCCACCATGCTGTTTCATCGGCCGGCATCCCGACTCGCGGACTTACTGGAGCAGCAACTTGTGACATGAATCTTTGCATCAGTCTGCGACTTCCTTGCTTCCAGATCAGACCTCATTGCAGTTCGTGTACCGGACGCACCCTAGCACTTGGACTTTGACATTTGAACTACTACTACGCTTCTTGGACTTCTACCTGTCGCAGCCGCTGAAGACCGCTTCTACCACCTACTCCAAAGACCTGATCAAGACCGCTGCAGACCCCCTTTCAAGACACTTGGACACTTTGTCCCTACATGAGATTCTGCTTCCGACTCCTTCGGACACACCAGCCCTTGCATCCTGAAAAAACATTTTCATTTTTATTTTTCCCGACTTTGACAACCCTGTAGAACATCATTAGCAGATCCCTGTTCCCCTAACCTTGTTTCCCGTACCCACTAGAATATCAATAGACATCCCCTGTTCCCCTTACCATTGTTTCCCTTACCCAGTAGAACATCAATAGAAGTTCCCTGCTCCCTGAACTGTGTTCCCCCTTAACCTATAGCAAACCATGCAGTCCCCTTAGTTCATCAGTAGACTACCCTGCTCCCTGCCATCCCTTTAGTTCATTTGTAGGACTACCCTGTTCCCTGCAACCCCCCCTAGTTCATCAGTAGGACAACCCTGTTCACCGGTACCAAATCCTGTTCCCTATGGACAACCCTGTTCACCGGTACCAAATCCTGTTCCCTCTTACTCCCGCAGCCCATGCCACCCACATTATACCCCTCTTCCCTTTTGACTTGTTAACCAGTGATCGGCATTGCTTCATGATTTTTGGCAGCTAGGACGTTGCCTTCTAGAGGGAGGGGATAGTGTTACAGACTCCGACAGGGCTCGATCCCTGGTCTATCTTTTTGCTGTTTCGGCTGCATTCCCGTTTTCGGCCTGGCACCCTTTTTCCAAACCCCTCCTTTGGTACCGTAGGATTTTGGACAACTGGCGCCATGCTGCAATTCGGGCGCCACTTTCAAATACCGCATTTTTCAGTTCTGCCCTCGGGGCCTTTGCAGAAATGCCCCTGGTATCGTACGTGTCATCGGTACTTATACCGGCTCCCCGTACGGTACGGGGACCAGTCTCGTACCAGAATCCAGTTTCCAGCTGCTGTACTCGTACTCAGTGTGACTTGCTGTTTCGGCAATCGGGAATCCAAGACTTTGACTTTGTGCCCTTGCCACTGTGTCTGCGTCCGACCCTCAGTCGTGTCGAGTGAGTGAGTGTGTGTGTGTGCTCTCACTCTCTCCCTCTCTCTCTCTCCTCTCCCTCGGCTCTTTCTCAGCCTCACACGCGTTACACGCCCGGTTTACTCGGACGCCCCCCCCGGCCCTGCCCAGTCGGGCGGCATCCTCACTCAGCTTAAGAGACCGGTTGAATGGATACAACAATCTGAAAAAGAACTCGAGAAGAACTTATAAAGAGATTATTGATCAGTCCCAGATGACTGGTCTGAATATGAGACGAGATAACGATGGACGCTGAGAGAGATGAGGCGGCGAGCATATAGAGGAGACACACGGCTGGAAACACATCACTTGAGCTGAGATAGGCAGAAGGGTGACGGTTGCAACGCTATCTTGAAAGATGTATTCCCTGTGATAGTAAAGCCTATTACATCTTTCTACTTTGTGATGAGTAACAAATATAACCTACTAGAGTACTGAACCACGTTGGGAAACAGACTCAGGAAAAGGGCATGCACTCCAGAACCAGTCATAGCTCAACACTGGTGGGGCCACCTAAACAACAATCTGACCAGTTTAGCCGTACCCCCTTGGGACACAATGTCTTCATGCCGCCCCCTGCCTGCTTCAGAAGTCTTCAATGGCTAATTATGCAGTAACAGTCAATTAATGGCTAAATAAGCGCAGAGCAAAGCCAAATAGAAGTCCACTAAACGGACTCCGTGCAACCTTCTCAGCAGGACAAAGGGATGATGTCATTGACTGTTGTTTTCAATGCAGCCGAATCTGAAAGCTATGGGGGAGAAACTCGAGGGACTATGGTTAGGTCTAACAGGGAAGAGTTTCTGCAAAATATTCAACCCTCTAGTTCCTAAGAACCACATGTCCAGCATTGGCCCAATTTCGCAACAAACATCTTCCCATCCTAAGAAAAGTGAAACTCCTTTTTTTTTAAAAGAAAAAAGAGGACCTTATGGGCCTGACTCCGTATTCATTCAGTGAGCGCCAGTCCAGTTCCTTTTCTACCAGCAAGGACGGCGAGCAGGAGGAGGAGGGAGAGGACAACGAACGAGAGCAGGAGGGAGCAGGCGACAAACGAGAGGAGTCGAAGGAGGAACGACAGTTTGTGGAGCGCGGCAAGGAGAGTTAGGACGATGAGCAGGAGGGGGTGCAGGAGTCCAAGAGACGAGCGGGAGGAGGAGAGGAAGGGCGTTGACTGACCTGAAGGGGCGATGACGAGAAGGTCAACAAGCGGGACAAGAAGCAGGGCAAAGATGACGAGGTGACGGAAGAGGAGAAAGTGGGGGGGCAGGAGGAAGTCGGCCTGTAGCAGGGGATGGCAGGAGGACTGATGGAGGACGTGGAATGAGGAGGAGGAGGAGGTGGCGGGGGAAAAGCGGCAGAATGTACCTAGAATGTTTTTTGAGCTTTTTTCTTTTTCCTTTTTTTTATTTTGGGGGGGGGGGAAGAGAGAGAGAGAGAGAGAGAGAGAGAGAGAGAGAGAGAGAGAGAGAGAGAGAGAGAGAGAGAGAGAGAAAAATTGTCCTCCTTGTCCTGTTCATGAGACAGGGAACAGGAAGAGGTGTGCCGAGCCCTGGGGGGCCGGCTTGTTTTTTTAAATCTGCAGTGCAGACATCAACCTTGACATTCACTCTTGGAACTGTGAATTGCTACTATGCCACAGAAGTGTCAACAGTCTCCTCCTGCTGCTGCTCCCGCTCCTCCATTGGGCTGGGGTGTAAGGAAAAAATTGGTTGAGGCACCAATCGCAAATGATTTATGACGGTTAGACGGAATATACATCCATGGTTGGGCTTTCAGAAGCACTTAACGTGCAGAAATGGAAAAATCACAAGCAAGAGGAAACTCCAGGACAAGCCACGAAAGGGGATGTGCCAAAGCATCACAAGCAGGTGAGAACAATAAGGAGACTCACAAGGGGGCTATGTTACCAACTGAACACACGCGTTCAATTTTCCTGTACCGCCACCATAGCCGGGACGGTCCTCTCTCTCTCTCTCTCTCTCTCTCTCTCTCTGGCGAAAATTTGTGTGCGCGAGGGCGCAGGTGCATGGGCCGTTCCAACAGCCCCGGTCCCTTTATGCACACCGACCTGGGCGGGGTCTGAGGACCCTTTTTTCTTTTCTTTTTTCTTTTTTTTCGTTTTTCATTTTTCTTTGCTTTTTTATGGTTTCCGAGGTTGGGGTGGTGCTCACACCCCTCCCAGACCCCCTAGAACCCCTTCCCTGTTGCCGCCCACCCCCTCAGTGACCCCCTAGAACCCCCTCCCCTAGAACCCCTCCCAGACCCCCTAGAACCCCTTCATCACGTGCAGTTGCATTTATTGAACGTGCGTTCAAAGCATTCAGAAAATGAGTCCGAAACGTGCGCTCAATGGCTGCACGGTTTGACAGCAAGGGGGTTGAAGGAACAAAACAAAGAGAGTGGCATGCTTTGACCACCTACCGCGTCCTGTCTTAAATCATCATTGCCAGATTTTGCCAGCTGCCGATATTTAGAACCATCCGAGCCAATACATTCAACGACTTTTGGGGCATTGATGCCGTTCATCACACTGCAAACACAACACATGCCCAATGACCAATGCGTCCAATTGTTACAACCACTAGTTTTTCCTTCAAATTTTCAACCATCATCACCTCTAACGGAGCTTTGATAGTACCACAATGAAACCAAATGTATCTTTCACTTTCCGTTTTTACCATTTCCTCTATCGATGGTGTGTGCAAGCAGGAAGGAAGGAATATAAAACTGGTAAACCAGCAGCTCTTGCACGAAATTTCAGAGAGAGACAATTAACTAGTGACTGCAAAGCATAGTTAAGCACCTGCTGAACAATTTAAACACTCCACTAAGCCCTGAATTCGAGGTCATATGAACATCCAAGAGCCCCAAATCAGTCCGCAAACAACTGAGTTTGGCAGCAGATCCATTTTATTTTACTTTTCCCCACAAAGTGCCACAACCACAGCCCCTTCTATTCTGGGGGCATCAGTCCGGTTGCTTATCACCGGCAAGCAAATCATATTGCAAAGGTTTCTGAAAGAGCAGTGGCGGGAATTAGACAGAGGAAAGCATCAGCCTATCCTCGTGGCTTGACCCGCCTAAGGGATTAATCTGCAAGTCGAGCAAGGGGGGGCTGGTTCGGCTCGACCCACTCCCAATCTCCAAACCTTCCTCAGGGATTAATCTGCAAGTTGAGAAGCTTACTGGCAGCACCCAGGCACGCTGCAGGGAACGGGGTGGGGGAGGTCCTGGCAGTCCCTCAGGCTATGAGACTATGACTACGGACGTTGAACTGAAACGGTATTCACCAGTTCGAAGTAGCTGATGCAGGACCCAGGGTTCGATCCCTAGTTCCCCAACTTACCTG